AGAGAGAGAGAGAGAGAGAGAGAGAGATGGTGGGCATTCTGTAGCAGAGTATCTGAGGGGTCTTTTTCTGAAGATCGACTGCAAGAGGAGGTGAAAAGGAGAAGAGCAGCCGCGAAGGCGGACAGCACGTGGCGTCCGAGTGACGGAGGAGTGATGCCACGTGCTGTCCGCCGGCGACGGCGCCGGCGGACAACCGATGACGGCGGACAGCACGTGGTTGAGTATAGTGCTCTCGAGATGGCTATAGGTGAAGGTGAGGTTGGGGATGGTAGAGGGTACGTCTGCTCCTCTCGGCCTTCTCCCCCCCCCCCCCCCCCCCCCCCCCCCCCCCCCTTTCTCTCTTTCTGGCCTCGATCTTGTTCTATTTGGACCCTCTTCTAAGTTACGGACGGAGGTCTGCGCGAGAGTCAGCTGTATATATATATCTGTTTGTGACGATATATATGCATAGATATATATATATGATTATAAGGTGGAGTCCGACAAGGCTGCATCCTTTCAGTGCTTCTCTTTTCATCTGCGCTTCTGGTTGATTTTTTTTTTTTCTGTTTTGAAATTTAATCTGCCATTCTTAGTTCCCGATCTCTATTCCTTTTTTATTTTTATTTTATTTTATTTTATGTGGCAACGTTTTCAGTATGATCCGGGCACTCCGGCCAGGTTCAAACTTTGGTCGATCGCTTCTTCTTCTTTTTTTTTTTTTTTTTTTTTTCCGATCTCTATCCCTTTTCCTGGAGTGCAGAGTGGAAATTACAAAGTCCCTTTGTTGAGAGGATGTAGAGTGTAGAGTGAAAACAAAGGTGGAGATCATCCGAAGCTTGCCTTAGTCTTTTTTTTTTTTTTTTTTTTTTTCGGATGATCTCCACGTTGAGAGTGGGAGTGAAAACAACAAAAAAAGTCCATTGGTGTAGAGTACGGAGTGAAAACAAGAAGGAAGTTTTAATCAGCGAAAGTCGTTATTTGCATTCCATGCGAACCATATGCGATTTTTTTTTCTTCTTCTTTTTCGTTTTTTCTTTTTTTCTTTTTCTTTTTTGAAGGGCGACGGGCTTGAGATATCATCATCGCTGAACTGACCGGCCCCAGGTAATTCCGAATGATTTTATTTTTTCTGGTCATCTGGAGTCAGGTCCCATTAGCAAAGAGGATTGGATTGAATTGCTGAATCTGGATGCCTTTTCCATCAGAGATGTTGCTGAATCTGGATGCCTTTTCCATCAGAGATGCAGAAAAGCAGATCAATTGCAATTTTCTGCATCTTTCCACAAGCAAGTCCAGATTCAGCAATTAAATCCAGTCCTTTGTGCTGATGGGACCAGGCCCCCGAATACAACGTACGGTCATTCTAGCTGTATCTAGACTGAGAGATGCGTCAAATACAGCTATAATGACCGTACGTTGTATTCGGGGGAAGAAGGTAGATTCGAACTCTGGTCTGCATTTCGGCAGTTCATGGGTGTACCATCTGCGCTACCGGTAGGCCCATTGGGGAACCATATCTTTTTTTTTTTTTT